AACCCTCAGTTTGTTTCCTGAGATTAAGAATTCCTCATATCAGTGAGGTCATATGATACATGTCTTTCTCTGTCTGACTTATTTCGCTCAGCATCAAAGTTTAAATTTTTTTAAAAGATTTTATTTATTTGAGAGAGAGTGCAAGCAAGAGACCTGACAAGCAGGGGAAGCAGGAGAGAGAGAGGGACAAGCAGACTCCCCACTGAGCAGGGACCCTCCCATGGGGCCGATCTCAGGACCCCGAGATCATAACCTGAGCGGAAAGCAGCCGCCTAACCAACTGAGCCACCCAGCCGCCCCTCCAAAGTTTAAATTTTCTTACTGAGCACATAATTTAAAATCTGAACCCTGTTCACATAAGAGAGTAAGAGCAGGCAAGTAATGTCCTTCTCAAAGGGATTTTTTGACAAGCTTACTGTCAATATCCCTATGTTTCCAAGAGTTGTCTTTACCAGCCAGGCTGTCCTGTGGCCACAGCCCCTAGGGGGCATCCTCCCTCTGATGGAAGAAGCAAGGGCCCAAAGAAGGGAGGCAATGGCTAGTTATCTCCCCCATGCAGTAGCTCCTCAGTGCTTAGCTCTGTGTCGTGAGATTAGGGTGACTTAATTTCCTCTTTTGGCTTATTTGTACTATTTTATTTATTTATTGAAAAGATTTTATCTATTTATTTGACAGAGAGAGACACAGTGAGAGAGGGAACACAAGCAGGGGGAGTGGGAGAGGGAGAAGCAGGCTTCCCGAGGAGCAGGGAGCCCGATGCAGGGTTCGATCCCAGGACCCTGGGATCATGACCTGAGCCGAAGGCAGACACTTAACGACTGAGCCACCCAGGTGCCCCTGTACTATTTTAAAATGGCAACGAACACAAATTCATCAGCCAGGTATGTACTGCTTATGAAGAAAAGGACTTTTAAGGCCTAAGTCTCCAGAGGCCCAAGAAAGCCATCAGCTCAGGGCCTATATGAATGAAAATCACTAAGTTTAATATCCATTTTCATCCATGACTTGGCCAAAGATCAGACATAAGCTCCTTCAAAGCAGAAGCCCACCATCTTTTGTTTCCTGCACTAACACTGGAGCAATTCCTCAGCATCTATGCAGTAGGTGTTTAACAGATAATCACTGAAGACCACAGCTTTCAACATTTTTTGACTTACTGCTCCAGGCACGCAGACCTCCACCTGTCTTGTTGGCAGGCTGCCTCACTGACGAAGCCACCTCCTTCCCAGCTCCCACAGACAGGAGAGTCATCCTGCATGCTCTGGGGCCTAGCGTCTAGGACAGCCACACCTCAGGCAGGCTTGCTGGGAAAAGCCTGCCCTGGCCTCTCCCGACAGTAGGGGGCTATTACTGCTCCAGCCCACTGTCAAGCCCACTTTGGGTCCAGAAATCAGTCATGTAAGATTGCAGCAGGTTTCTGCTGCCCAGGAAGTCCAGACTGCAGCTATGTACCAGGTAAAAATCTGGTTTCCTCAACTTTTACCCTTTTTTCCCAGAAGAGATCCTATCAAATCACAACAGGGTAGAAGATTCTACTAATAATCTTTCTTTTCAAAAATACTTAAATATGTCAAGCAGAACTCTGTGGCTGGCATTCTAATCAAGAGCTGTCAGGATTAAGCAAGTTTCATTGCTTGCACAAAACTAAAACTAACATTTATGGCCCCTCTTCCCTTAATGCCTCACAATCTATCCCAACCTCTCATCATCCTCACTCATCCTCCTTTTCCTCTAGGAAACAATACTCTACTCTGCCATTAATTCCTACTGAGTGGTAACACTAGAAACACATATAGCTCTATCTACTAAGCCCCTGGAGAAATCACTTTACCTTTGAGAGTTGCTACTTAAAATACTAACCCCCCCCCCGCCCCCCACTTCCCCGAGTCACTGTCCAATCTGCTTTACCAACCACACAGTGGATCTGACAGTTCATCAGACTGGAAGAACTATACCTCAAGGGAAGAGACACACTAGCTTTCCATCCCCTGCCCCCAGTCTACAACCCCCCCCCCCAATTGGAGGATCTGACATAACCCCATACTCTCTCCTCTACATGTGGGAGGAACTTGCTCTAGGTCCACAGAATGCCAACCCTTGGAAAGGAAAGAACAAAAAAGAAAAAAGAAAAGAAATGGGGGTAGGGACTTTCCTTAAAGCATCAAATTACAGCAACAAGGCATATAAGACTGGGCATTAAAAGTCTATCAAGCCACATATTCTGTAATGAGTTAAATGAATCTAAACCAAATGTCTGAAATAGTTTAACCCTTATTAAAAGAGGCTAAAATGGGGGTAAATCTAGTCAGTCACCATGTGTCAAAGGAAATTATAAAGAGATCTTACAGCAAACAAGTTTGAAAAATTGGCCCAAAAAATCCAATAAAGAATTTCTTCCAGGGGACGTGCCTGGGTGGCTCAGTCAGTTGGGCATCTGCCTTCGGCTCAGGTCATGGTCCTAGGGTCCTGGGATCGAGCCCCACGACTAGAGGCTAGATGGGGAGGCTGCTTTCCTCTCTCTCTCTCTCTCTCAAATAAATAAATAAAATCTTTTTATTTTTTTAAAGATTTTTATTTATTTATTTGACAGAGAGAGGGAACACAAGCAGCGGGAGCGGGAGAGGGAGAAGCAGGCTTCCCGAGGAGCAGGGAGCCCGATGCGGGCTCGATCCCAGGACCCTGGGATCATGACCTGAGCCGAAGGGAGACGCTTAATGACTGAGCCACCCAGGCGCCCTAAATAAATAAAATCTTAAAAAAAGAAAAAGAATTTTTTCCAAGCTGAATAGATTATATA